TTCATTTCTTTCCTCTTCTTAATCAAAATACAGTACAGGTTCATCACCTGTGAAGCTAACTTCTAGATCTCAACGACTACTCTGACTGTCTCACTACTCGACTACTACTCTGACTCCTCCTCTAGGTTGGCCAACCGCTCGCCCATATCAGTTCCGTGCAACTAGGTGAGTTCTCACCTCAGACTCCATTGGGATATCTGGGAAGAGCTTCTGCAGAAGCTGGACTATAGGTCCTTCTGTGCCCCTGTGCACCTCTCCTCCTCCTCCTCCTCCTATTAGTACTCCTACCGGTACTACCACTGCCTGCTGCTCTCTACTACTGACACCTCTAGCTCTCAAGACTTCAATAACTACTTCAAAACTATCTCAAGGCTCCTTACAACTTGCGACTTACGACTTACAGAAACACAAATAAGCACCAAAAACATCAAGATGACTTCTATCCGACCTGCAACTCGACTTACCACCCGCCTTGGGAATGCTCCTGCAATCCCCTTCAACATAGGTGCAACTTCACCTCTCACCCCAACACCATCTCGACATAGATCTTCATCTGCGCCCCCTGCTGCAGATACTTCCCCCACACCAACCCCGCCACCACCTCAAGAAAATCCTCCTGCCCCAACTGAAGAAGATCAGATTGGACAACAGGAAAGTATTGCTACACTGACCCAACAGGTACTTGTCACGGCCGTCGAGCAACTTCTTCCTAATAGACCGACGGTCGACGAACCTCGGCTAACTTCACGCTTCTGAGTCGATGTCTCACCCAACCAGGAGGGCGCAGACGTCGAAAGGGAGTGTAACTACGGCGTACTTCGGCGTAGTTACTCTAACTAAGGCTTTGTTCTATTGATGGCGATGTATCCCGATGTATAGCTATCTCTATATGTCTTTTACTACTGACAACAATCAAGGATCGCTGAAGAACTTCAGCGATCTTCTCAGCTAATATTATCTACTCCTCCTAGACGTTCATCCAACCCTCTCGCGCTTTGACGTACTTCAACGCACTTCGTCCAACTTCCCCGAGCCCTCGGCCATCCTCTTCCTCCTTCGACTAACTCCGCCTAACATCGCCGCACTTCTGCTCCCATTGTCCCTACTTAGCCTAACTCCGCCTAACATCGCCGCACTTCTGCTCCCATTGTCCCTACTTAGCCTAACTCCGCCTAACATCGCCGCACTTCTGCTCCCATTGTCCCTACTTAGCCTAACTCCGCCTAACATCGCCGCACTTCTGCTCCCATTGTCCCTACTTAGCCTAACTCCGCCTAACATCGCCGCACTTCTGCTCCCATTGTCCCTACTTAGCCTAACTCCGTCTAACTTCGCCATACTTGGTGTCAGAAGTCCTGAGTTACGTGTAGAGTAAAGAGGTTAAGGCGTGATGGGGTTTTGATGGCCAAAGGAGGGTCATTGTTGGTGGAGTAATCGAGGTGTCACGACGTAGTTCGTGACAGTCGCCCCCTTCTTTAGCCGCGAACGTCCTCGTGAGCGATTACACCTCTGTCGTGGCAAGAGAACTTAGCAGCGTAGTACCCCCATTCTCTCCCTCCCCATGACCATCCTCCACTCTTCTGCTCTTTGCGCCGCACTTCGTAGTTGGGCCTCCTTTCACTCCAGAACCCGACAATGAGACTCCCCTAACTTCGTCGAGGTTTGCCGTAAGAAGCCCTGTGTCTTTTTTGTAGGTGAGACACGCTTCCTGAATGGCAGCCGAACAACACCGTTGTTTGTCGAAGTAACCCTCGCTTATATTCAGATGAGACACTATAGCGTGGGAATTTTGATCGTCCCTGCGATGCCTTTTGTTGATGAAACGCGAAGTTTGCTGCATGTTGACGACGAGGGGTTAGGTTTGATTATACTAAATACTGAGCAGTTCGTCGAGCTTCTCTCTTTTTCCCATCTGCTTTCAAAACTTCTATCTCTCTTACCTAGAAAACAGATTTGTTACCTTGAATCATCGCCTCGAGTTTTATTCTCATTTAAATATCTTAACGTCATGGCCCCTTCTACTCCTACACCCAGCCCTTTCGCCGCCATGAGGAACTTTGGTGGTATGGTGTCATCTGCTCGTGAGTTTTCATCGATACTCCACCCTACCTCGCCGACTTGGCTGATGTTCAGTTTCTTTCGGCGACGGATCCCGCCAAGTCTCCTCCCTCGGC